ACCACTGGGCCCCGCTTGCTGACTTCCTTCCTCTTCTCTCCTAGGCTGTCTGTGACAATCAACAGGAAAAAGAACATGGTGGTCTCCTTTGGAGACGGGGTTACTTTTGTGGTCGTCCTGCACCAGGTGTGGAAGAAGCATCCCGTCCACCAAGACTTTCTGGGCTTCTATGTGGTGGACAGTCACCGGATGTCAGCACAAACACATGGGCTGCTGGGTATGGAATGTTTAAGCTTCAGATTGTTCAGGAGACACGGTAGAGGGGAAAAGCCACATGAAAGACTGTCCTCGTCACCCCGGACGAGCACACAACACCCAGTCAGCCTTCGCGTCAACCCTGCAAGACTAGAGGCTGTCTTACCTATGGTGATGGTGGAGGCTGACAGTGTGCAGGGGCTGACAGTGTGAATGTTTCTGTTCCCAGGACAATTCTTCCATCCCTTTGACTTTAAAGTGTCCGACATCCACCCAGGCTCTGACCCCACAAAGCCAGACGCCACAATGGTGGTGAAGAACCATCGGCTGACAGTCACCAGGTGACAGAACTCTAACATCCTCGCCCTGCCCAGTAACAAGACAGGAGGAGAGAGCCCTCTCTGCCCAGACACATTGGCCTGGCAGGCTCTTGTCTCCTGTGGGGTACCTACCCTAGTTTCCCTCTGGGGTCCTGACCTCCCCCACCCCCCACTCTAGGCCCCTCCTAATCAGGAAAAGGCCAAACTTGGCCCCCTAGAGGGAGTTAATCATTTGATCTCTTTCTTAACCAAAGGGTTCCTGGACTCACAATTGGCAACTTCACACCCTTCTCCAGCCTTGGGACCTTGAGTGTAGCAGCCGTCTTGCCTGCCCTGTGTATATCACAGTGTGTCTTTCCTTTTTCCCAGGGGATCCCAGAAAGACTACAGGAAGGATGCCAGTGTCGGCACCAAGGTTGCCTGCTGGTTTGTCCACAACAACGGGCAAGGGCTGATTGACGGTGTCCACAGCGACTACATTGTCCCCAACCTGTTCTGAGTAGACATGCCAGCTCCTGCTGAGACAGCTGGCCCAGCTCACCTGGCCTCTGGAACAGGGACACAGCCCAGGGTCTAAGGGAGGGTTGTGAAAATAAAGCCCGAGGGGACACTGCCACCAGCCATGTCTGCATGCCTCTGTAAGCCCCTGTTCAAGGGATCAGGCAGTTGGGCCCCGAGGTAGCTCAAAGGAGGGGCTGGCTGCTAGGAAGGCAATTCCCTGGGGCTCTCTCCTGGTGTGAGTTGAGAGACCGGGTTGGTTGGGGATAGCGCTTTTGGGAGCCAAGTGTATGATGGTTTGGGGAGAAAAAAAACAAACAAGAATTGACTCTAGTGTGAAGGGGCTGAGAAGTCAAGAAGGGTTGAGTGCATTTCAGAGTCCAGGAGGGTAATGAGAAAAGTCAGGGCTCATGGCTCAGCAGCCCCCATCAGGACCCACAGGCCTGAAGATCTTTCTATGACGCAGAAGCAGAGTGCTCCAGAGCGGACATAGCGTGCAGCTCATTATGGATGTCCTTCCTCCCTCCATCTTCCCATTATCTAGATGTCCACCGCCACCCACCCACCCATCCTCTAGCCATCCAGCCATCTATCCATTCAGCAGATAAATCCAACATTCTGGGCCAGAGTCTGGGGCACACAGCTTTGTGCCCATTTCCTTTTTGCGTGGGTGCCCCAAGCCTGTGGCAGCTAGGCTGGAAATCCCTAAGATCCTCCAATACAGCTCATGGTGACCACCCACTCTGCCCCCACAGTAAGTCCTGGGTGGGGTCAGAGGTCGGGGATCAGATAGAGATTCCCAGAGGAGGGGCTCTGAGGGCCCTCAGCCTGGACAACCCTCTCCCACCCAGACAACTACAACACCCCTTCTCGGGTCTCCCTGCTTCCACAGAAAGACTGTGTAGAGCAGAACCAACCATCACTCCCTGTCTAAGACCCTATTAATAACACCTCCCACCCGCTGATCTTGGGAGAAAGGCCAATGTCCTACCTATGGCCTGTCCAGCCTCACCAACCCCACACACCAGGTGTCTCGCCTCACTTTCAGGGTTCCACACATAGACTGCTTCCAGTTCTGTGAACCTAACCCTTCATGTTCCAGATCCTTTGCCTCTGCACTTCTCACTGCCTGAGGGGCTACGGGCCTGCTGGGCAGAGGGTACCCATTGCTGGAAGCAGTGGGCAGCTTTGCTTGATGGCAGAGCAGGGAACACAACCTCCTGGATGAGGTTTGAGTTAGACTGGGAATGGCCACAAATGCCAGTGCGGGTGAGGGTGGGATCTGGTGATGGGTCACCAGGAAGTTCCCCCACCCCCCACTCCAGGGTCCCATGTGCTTGAGTCAGAACAGGGTTTCGCAGGCTCTAGAGGCCTGGCGGAGGGTACTAGGGAGGCCAGTCCAGGAGAAAACCTAAGCGGCCAGGCCCTGCTACCTACTGGGTCCTGGGTTGACTGAGGAACCATGTAACTTTAAACCAGTTTTCACATCTGTAAAATGGGGAGAAAGATCCTGCCAGATGGTGTAGACACATCATCATTATGGTTTCTGGCCCTCCTGAGGTGCCTGTCTTTGTCCTTAGCCTCCAGCTAGTCTCCTGGCCCAGCGAGTTGGGAGAAAGTCAGGAGGAGGTCCCCAGCCCAAATTTTGCCCCTTCTCTCCAACAGTCAGGGAGACCCTCCACGCAGGTAAAAGCCAGGGGGACCCTGTTTGCTCCCCAGTCCTAGATCATCCTGGCTACACCTGTCTCTGCTTACCCCCCAGCTTTCAAGATAGAAGCCATGCTTCATGGCAGGGGGCACTCAGCCAGTGATGGCCTGGTCCTGCGTCTCTACTTCAGCATCCGCTTCCATCTCACCCCATGGCACTGCACCTTCCCTGACTTGGTGCACAGTGTCCTCGCTCTAGGCCTGGTGTCCTTGCCCTCCTTTTTCACTGGGCTAACTTCTCTTTATTCTTCAAAATCCAACCCCAACCATGCCACTTCTAGGAACCCTTCCCTGACATTCCCCAGGCTCTTGGTGGCACCTGGTTGTTCTCTGGGTGGTAGCTGTCACACGAGGCAATGTGTCTCCTTGGTATCCAATGGACCTGCAGCACTCAGCCCCCCGCCTGGCCCAAGTGAGTGCTGGAAAGCACTCGGTGAACAAAACAGCGAAGGGCACAGAACTCCTTTCACCTGTTCACAGAGAACACCTCTGCAAGTACGGCTGGGCCAGAAAGTCACCCATGACCCCTCTGCTGCTGTACCAATTCCACAGCCCAGCCCAGCTGCTGGGGTCCCGGAGGGGTGAGTCAGGGTGGGCACTCATGTCGCATCCCGGTATGTCAGAGCTCTGGTCTGAGCCCCTCGGAGCAACCTTCACAAGGTGACTCAGCCTTGACCCCCACCTGCCCACCAGGCTCAATGGAGACACAGCAGCTCAGCAGGGGTGTTCCTGTGAATTTGGCAAACCTGCTGCTGGAACCCCTTCCCACTGGCCTCTCCCCTGACCCTTCTAGAAAGACTCACTCTGTAAACAACCTGTAAAGCTCTAGAGCTGAGAACAGAATGCTTTCCCTGGTGATCTAGTTTGCTTCCTCTCAGCAAGCAAACGAGCTCATTTATTGCTTTCCCCTGGCTGCCAGGAAGCTCTGCACAAAGCTTTGTGCCACTCTAGCTTGCCTTACCCTGGCGCCTGTGATCTAACTCTTCCCCTGCTTGTTTCTTTTATTCTATTCTCATGGTTTTGCTTTTGTTCTCTTCATGGTTTTTATTTGTAAGCCAAAAACGTGTGTCATTTTTTAAGAAGTAGGTGGAGTAACTCTAGATGTTTAGGTGTGCTTCGCCTATGCAGGGGATTGAGTGCAATCTTGGGGGTGCCCACCCCCGGAGCATGGATGGGAGAGCAGACCCAGGGCCTGGAGCCCAGGCCTGGAGCACCCTCATGAGACTCAAGGCTCCTGGGGACAGATGCTTGCGTCCTCCGTGGGCCGGGGACCTCATCTCTGCCTCCCCCATCTCCAGTGCTGGCCTCTTGACCCGGTGGCGAGCAGACATCCTGAGCACAGGTGCGAAAACCAAACCGTGTCATGCAAATCCCATCACCAAGAGGCCCAAGAGCTTGCTGAGAAGTTGGAGAGTTGGCCTGTAAAGAACTTCTACTCAGTTTGTGCCCACCCAGGGCCAGTTGTGTTTCTAATAAGAACTTCTACCCAGTTTACTCTTTTTCTTCTTCTTTTTGTTTTTGTTTTTAGTCGAAACTGGGTTTCACAGACTCAGTGACCATTAAGCAGACTGAACCTTTGCTCCCAGAGAATGTTCTCCTGCCCTAGACCCCCAGCTGGGGGCTGCAGCAACATTTTAAATGGGTGATTTAATCACTTTAAATCTTAGTTTCTCTGCTTGTAAAATGAAGAGGTTGGACTGAAAGTTCTTCATGGGCCTTACTGGCCACAGGCCTTCGAGGGGCTTACAGTGGAAGGTTCTAATGGGATTCTGAGGCCCTGGGATGTAGCCAGATGCAACCACAGATGTCCATTCCCTGGGCTCACAGCACCTTTATTTGGAATGAGTGGGAATATCCCTCCCCATCGCAGTCCGGGCCCCACGGGCGGTCTTCTGGCCACAGGGTGGCAGCTCTCTGCACACAGTGGGGTGGCCTGGGGTGTGGGCACAACCCCTCCCACATAACTATAGCTCCACGGACCAGCAGGAAATCTCTGTTCCTGGGGAAGCCTCTTGGTAATCCAGCTTGAGCAATCTGGGATGGATACGTGGACAGACAGAAAGATAGGTGGTCAGCAAATCTCAGGTGTGGTGGGAAAAGAGGGAGATGGCTGGGGTTAGGAGTGTGGACGGTAGAGAGGCTGGGAGCCTTAGAATTTCCTCCAGCACAGGACAACAAGGCCTGGTCACCCAAGTGGACCCAGCTGTGTGTGGTCTTCAGGGCCCAGGGCTCTGAGAGTTTGGGAGGAATTTCCTACTGTCCCCGACTCACCCTAGTGATCTCTGGGCTGGGGTGTTTTTTGCAGGTTTGAGCTGACTGTCCTCTGTGAGGTCACTGAGAGCTAGGTCAGAGATATCTAAAGTATCAACCTTTGCCCTCACTGTCTCTAGGTTCCAGGCAAGGACAGAGGAGTAGGGCCACCCGCCAAGCCCAGTTCCCAGCCTCTAGGCCTCCACACCCGGCCAGGCTCAGTGGCCTGCTTGCGCAGTCACCTGGTGGCAGAGTAGTCACGGCCCTGAACGCTCAGTGTTCGCCTGCTGTCATCTGCCGCTGCTGGGGGCCCCCAGAGCACGCCCTGGTAGAACTGGCCTGAGATACAAAGGGCGGGGCAGCAAGGAAAAAAGATGGAGGTTGGGAGACACATAGAGGTGAAGGGCACTGCCAGTTCGCAGGCAGAGGTGGCTTCTGAGGGTGCCCTGAGCCGTGGGCAACATACCAAGGGTCCCGCCAACGTGGCTAGAGAAGCGGTCGGTGTCCCGCAGAAGGAGCCGGAGTCCCTCCCCAGGACCGTCCCAGGGGAGCAGGCCGATGGTCACTTTGTCTGGGCTGCTGAGCAGCAGGAGCCCCGCCTTGTCCATGGTCATGTTGAGGCTGTGGGGAAACCCCGCATCCTGAGCAATCGAGGTGGGAGTGGCCTTGGGCGGGACGTCCCTTAAATGTTTTGGGCTTCGCTTTCCTCACTGGTAAACTGGGACCATCTTAACGGTATCTGGTGTATTATTTATAAGATAAACCAGATTCCTTTCCCTCCCTGGTTTTCTTAGATTAGTTTCTCATAAATTAGTTTTATATGATTTAGGCAATTGTCTGATACATTCATTCTATCCCCTTCGTTTTTATGGCTAGTGCCACTTCCTTCTGATGATTAGTGTTACTTAGGTCTAGAAGAGCAAGTTCCTTTTCATCCTATCCTGTCCTTTTCTACTTAAGATAAGCTTTGAATGTCAGGCTCCTTAAAGCATGTTGAATAAGACCCTGCTGTTAACTCTGAGGTTATTTGAAATGGAACTGCCCTAAATTTACACTGTCCTTGATTCAATGTACAAAATGTGGTCTGTTTTCCCTTAGGTGTTATCTTCTGCAGCTCATGAAAGTATTTGGATTTTCTCTCACTGCAGGTGTTAGGAATTCTTCATTCTACCTTCTAGTGTGCACGTCCAGGGCACAGAAACTCTTGTCATTCTTTGTGCATTTATCAGATAATAGGAGACTTTAAGATCTCTTATGAAATTGGATGGTTTTCGGGTAAGCCCCTCAGATTTTCTAGGCACCCACTCATTTGTCAAGTGGAAACCGGTCTCTACAGTGTGGCGCAGTGAGAGGGCAGAGGACAAGACTCTCCGTGCTCGGTATAGGCTGGGGTGTTGCGTACTGCTCAAAGAGGGCCAGGGTCCTTGGCCCCACTCCCAGGCCCCTGGTAGCCTCCAGAGTTGGCAAGCTGCCTCTGGAAAGCTCTGTGGTGGGGCAGCCTCACCCAGAAGAGGTGGCCGTCCACCTCTATGCTAAGGATGACATTCGTAACCTCCCCCAGGGAACAGTGTTCTCCAGCTTCTCATTATTGTCGTCATTACCACACCACACAGACAGCACGGCCCTCCCCTGTACCCAGTGGGCACCATACTGTCCAATGGGCACAGTACTCCTGGATCCCATCCCCTCATTGGACCTTCTCCTCAGCCCTCTGACTCAGGGCTGGGTGATTGTCTCTAGTTACGAGTGAGGAAACAGAGGAGCTAAGCAGCCTGCCCAGGGTCACACAGGACTGGCAGTAGAGCTAGCTCCAAGCCACACTGTGCCCCACGTCGGGTAGTGACCCGGGTGAGGTGTGAGGGCAGCTGGGTCCCAGCACAACCCCTCTGTGACCTCCAGAACGGGAGGGTATGGTGCAGGGCTCTCTGCGGGGGCAGCCCACCGCAGGAGACGCATGCTCCGCCACCCCACCCCCAGGCGCATGGGCCCAGATCACCTAGCAGCAGTCACCGGCCAACTAATGTGGCCAGAGAAGTACCCAGCGGGGGGCATACCCAGGTGTCACCGAGAACAGCATCTCTTTCCACTTATAGGCAGAGTTTCTTCGATTTCGAGTCACTACCACGTGCTCAGGGGAGGCGCGGACCTGCAGCTGGGGGTTCTTGAAGGTCACCTCGATCCACGAGAACTGGGCCTTTTCTGTCTCATACTGGCCAGTCACCTCAACCCCTAAGAGGGCCGGGAGCACAGAGGTCAAGGCCGTGGCCCCAGCTGGGCGCTGGCCTGGATGACAGGTCCACCCAAACCCCTTCTCACCGGCTCACCTTCTCAGTCCCCTTTTCCCAACACTTCCTCCCACAACCTCTCCCTCATCCCCTGGTTTCATGTGGCTTTGGAAGGGCCCCCGAATCCTCAGCGATGGCCACCTTCAGACGAGCCCTTTGAGAGGGCAGATCCTGTCTGAAATCAGGGAATATTCATAAAGCCCCCATAGTGTGGCTGGCCTGACGAGGTGCTGTGGCCAAGAGCGAGATGGAAAACGAGTGATGCCCAGCCTCTGGGAGCAAGCAGACCACGGCCTGGTGAGATGAGCGGTAGACTGGGTGGATGTGGGAGGAATGGGGGAGCCGCAGAGGCTCATTGGCTCTGGGTGGCTCTGCAGGTGTGTGTGAGCATCCCCGAGTGCTGTGTATCCTCACATCTGACCTGACACTCGGTTCAACCAGTAGGACCCTTCTGGGGTTGGGAGTGCAGGCCTGGTCAGCACACCTACCACTTCCTCCCATTCACCTGCTCCACACCCTCCAGAGTCCTATCAGTACCTTCCAGGCCTCCGCTGCTGCTTTCCCCTTCCTCTGCCCAGTGGGCCCCCACTCGTCTGCCAAGGCCCAATCATTCCTGTATGACCCTGTGCAGCCTCCCCTGGCCCTCGGACAGCTCTTGTCTCCTCCTCTGGGCTCACTTCCGTGTCGCTCTGGGCATTGACTATAGGCCTCTGAGCTTATGTGTGCCCAAGTCTGTCTCGCCACCCCTGAAGTATGGCAGTGCCTGGGGACAAGTCCACATCTGGTCTCCCTGGAGTGCCCAGGCCACCTGGACCTGCATATGTGATGTTCAGGGGAAAGTCTGTGGGGTGGCCGTGTAAGTGCAAGTGTCAGTGCTCAGAGGCAGGCCACACTGTGATCTTGGGACAGGCCCACACGGGGTAAGGTGTGTCTCCATGGGCTGTGTCCCATCATTGTCTCTGGGGTGGTTAAGTTGGGAGTGAGTGGTGTCTGGGTCTCTCTGGGTGGATGATTGGGTGTGCACCTCTCACCTTGGTCAGGGTCTGAGAGCAGGTTCATTGGCCCCTGAGAGTGCTTGATGTCCACACAGAGAGGATTCACACTCTGTCCGGGCAGTGTCAGGATGACAGGAGGTGCCTGGATGGGGGCTGGGACAGCAGGTGTAGTTCCTAGAGCAGGTAGAGCGGGCTGGGAGGTAAAGGCAGGGAGGGGGCCTGAGGGAGGCTGGCAACCTACCTGGGGGTGAGTCTGTCTTGGCTGGTTCTGAAAGAAGAAAAAGTCTGGATTTAGACAGCCCCTTCCTGGGGAGTGGGGGAAGAGGTGAGAGATGGAGAAGCAGATGCCCGTGGCCAGGGCTCCCTCTCAACTTCAACACTGGAAAACCCACGTGATGTGTCTGCAGAGCTCCCCGAGGGTTTCCTCTCCTGGTGTCTATGTGTCATAGTGTCAGAAGGTATTGCAGGAACTCTGGCCTTGATTCTCAAATCCACTTCATCAGGAGTGGAGGGGGCTGATGGTGCCAAAGCAGACATTAGTGCAGGGGCAGCCAGAAACAGAAAGGAAGAAGGTAGTCAGGATTGAGAGTGATCTTCACATCCTCCAGCCATCGTTGCCACCCACCACCCCCCCGGCCCCACAACCCCTGCCATACATACATCCAACTTGGAAGAGCCTTTGTAACGAGACTTTCAAACAGGAGGGCACACTATTAGGGAAAATGCAGAGGACATGGGGTCTAGCCTGACTCTGCCGTTTCTGAATCCAGATTTGGGATTGGAAATAGCTCAAGGGACCACTGTTAGCTTTGGAAATGGAGGAAGCCTTCCCTTTCTAGAAGGTTCCATCCTGAGCCAGCCTCCAGAGTGTAATGAATCTGATCCAGTGAAAATAAAGGACACATTACTTCAGGGCACCTGGGTGGCTCAGTCAGTTAAGCGTCTGACTTTGGCTTAGGTCATGGTCTCACAGTTCGTGGGTTTGAACCCCGTGTCAGGCTCTGTGCTGGTGCTTTACCTCTCCAACTCTACAGGCAGGTTTAATGATCACCTTAAGGAAACTAGACTCTCAGAGGGTCAGAAAGTGGCTTACCTAACAACATGTCTGGTAGCAGCAAGTCCCTAACCCCATGGTAGGTTAGATGATGAGATGGAGAATGAACAGGTCCTTGTGGTCCGATTCTCCCTGGGTTACCAGGCGCCTTCCCAGAAGGTCCAGCTTTGGAAAAGTTGACACACACACAGTCTTCTCTAAAGTGGTGTCATGGTTCCCCCCCAGCCTGGGCTCTGGGACCCACCCCGGGAGAGGGATGTGGAGAGGGCGGATGGCTCCCTTCCTTGCACTCATCACTCTGGGAGCCTCTCCTCCCATGGCCAGAAGAAATTCAAAGTGGGAACAAAGGACCCTTCTTGAATCCCTCCGCCCCTGCCACTGGGATGTCAGCGCCCACCCCCAGTCCCCAATTCAAATTACTTGGTCCTCTATAGCTGCTTCTTTCGGTAAGGAAGGAGTCTGCATAGCTGCTCCCTAATCAGACATAAATGGACGTGAGTCCCAGCCCCGCCAGCCAGCCAGGTGAGCCAGGAAAGTCACTCCCCAACAACCAGGGCAGAGCCCAGTCTGTGGCCAGGGTCACGATTCTGTCAATCTCCCACCCCTCTCCCCTCTCCTCCTTTGCCACCTGTTAATCTGGACCTTCTGTCTCCCATGGTATGAAATCTGGAGAGAGGAAGACCTGGAAATCAGAGGGACCTGGGTTTGCTTGTTAGATGTACCTTTCTGGGGCCTGCAGTTGAACAGGGATTGTATCCCTAGTGCCCAGGGCAGGCCCCAAATGGCAGCCAGTATCTGAATGAACGAAGTGACTAAATGCACCCATTTGCTTAGGCAGACGACACCCCCGCTGGCAGTGGGGTTGGGCTGGAGAGGCCCTGGCCAGCAACCTCGTGGGGCTGGTGCCTTAGGTCCTGTGTCAGCCAACTGTCCCCCAGCCCAGCCTTTGAGGCTCTTACCTAAGTGGAAGTACTTGCGTTTGTTTTCTGGATAAAACAAAAAGAGAAAGGAAGAAATACACTGTTAGAGTGATTTCAATAAATTTGACATGCTTGTATTTAACCTTGCTTTCCGACCCAGCACTAAACAGGTGCAGTGAACTCTGGGGTCAGGAGACCTGGCCTCAGCTTTCACATCAATGAAATGGGAGGAGTCTCCCGGGGCTCCTGGGAGATTAGCGGTGGCAGGGTCGGGGTCTTGGTTGGGATGCAGAGGAAAGGCTGTGGAGGGTGCTGGGTCAAAACTGTGCTGCCAAGGAGGCCGGGGTCCTGCTCTCACACCCACCGGTTTCCACGGGCTTCTCTGCAACTTCAGATCGTTCTTCGCCTTCGGGTTTGGTGACCACCATGGACGTGAGGGGTGTGACAAAGCTGTACTGCAGCGACAAGTTCAGAGCTCGGGTCTCAAGGGCCTGCTTCTCAGCATCAGATGCCAAAATCCTGCAGGTTGAGGACATCACAGGTTCAGCAGGTCCCTGGATGCCTTGTCAGAATCTCCCTCCCTTCCAGACCCTTCTGGGAGGGTTCCACTGGGAGAGTCTGGAGCTCACACGTGGTGCCACAACCCCCTCTCTCTGGACTTGGGAGACACCCTGTGCCCACTGCTTCCCCCCCTCCCCCCCACCCCGTCCCCGCTGCCATGGGAAGCTTGTGAAGGTGCTCAGGCTATGTGTAGCTGTCCTGGTGGGCCCTCAAAGGTGTGGGCTACCCACATTTTCTCTAGCAGTTGCTGGATGGTCAGGTATGCCCAGAGTCTCTCCATGAAGCTGTGGAAGATGTACTTGGGGCTCCGGAACTCTTCTTCCTTCTCCGCCACTCTAATTTCCGTTTGGAAGGTGATGTTCTGCATGTGCTAGAAAGAGGGGCCCAGCCGGGGCAGGAGCTGTGAGGGCCTAGGTCTTCCAAGTGCTCCCACATGAAACCTGCTTAGAGCTGGGGCAGCTCCCATGCATCGGCTGCAAGGACTGCAATACCTTTGAGTAGAGTGGGGCGTGGGGAGGGAGTTTGGGGAATGAGAGTCTTGGTCACAGAGCCTCCCAAGATGAGAAGGAGGTGGAGATAAAAGGTAGCAAACCGCCCAAGTGCAACATGGCAGACACAGAGCTGGGAGCTCAGGTCAGACGGATCCTTCCAGAGAAAGGGAAATGAGAATGGGATGTGACGCCCAGGACAGTGTAGAAACAGCAGTAGGAAGGAAGTCCAAGTGTGGTGTGTGGACAGAAAGGGTCCCCACATGCATTCCACACTCACCCCAAAGATGGAGACTCTGGGGACAAAGAGGGAAGAGCTTTCCCCAGCAGTCAGTGGCAGAGTTGAAAAGAGAACTCCGGTGTCATGGCCCTGATAGGGCTTGGGGTCCCGTCCACCTGCAACCAGCTATCCTGGCCCATGCTGATGCCCTCTGCTGGGGCTGGGCACTGTGGGATGGAGGCAGCAAGGCATATGCCGAGCTCCGAGTGACTGCTGCATCCTTCCCCAGGGAGGGGGGCTTCTGGTCTGGGGCTGCCCTGCCCACAGCCTGGGAAGTGGCGGGAGGTGGGGGGACGGAGGAAACCCCACCTTTTTTGCCATTGCTCCCCACTGCAGTCGAAGGCCTTCTCAGTGTGGATCAGATCCCGCTACCCCTGCTGGAACTACCTCCTCTGTCTCTCACCCAGAGCCAGGCCTCCCCACACTGTCACATGCAGGCCACCTGCACGAATTTTGTCCTATCCACACATAGAGCTATTTGCTTGATGGTTTTGCTTAAATGAACTTTAAATAGACTAATACTATTTATTTGGCCCTGTCCCAAGCAATAATACCTGTGAAATCTTAGGCCTGGGGTTCAAGTTCTATTTTTCAGGAGACACATTAAAATAAATACACAACTACTAAAACAAACATGTTTGTGAACTACCCTGAGTCACCTTGGGTCTTACACTTTGGGAACGCCTGGCCTTTAGGTTCATATTAGCAGCTAACATGAATGAAATATTTACACTGGGGCCAGACTGTAATCCCCACAGCAGTCTTACAAGGTGGGTAGGGTGACCTATTCTGATTTCTACACAGGAGGAAACTGAGGCACAGTGAGGTTAAGTGATTTGTCCCAGGACTCACCTCTGGGAGGTGGCAGAGCTGGGTCTGAACCCAGGCAGGCTGGCCATAGATCACACACTGCCCATCCCACTACTTGGCCACTTCCTCTGAGGTGAGGCCTGGGACCCCCCATTCTCTTCTGACTCACCTACCTGCTGTTCTTCCCACACACCCTGCCTGCTTGCCATGCAAGCCTAGAATGTTCCTCCATCATTCCACCGTCTGGCCTGTACCATCCTCTACTCATCCTTCAGTCTCAGCTGGGCCTCCTTCAGGCATCCCTCCCTGATTCCCAGACCAGGTTTGGGTTCCCAGGGCTGCTCCCCTGAGTTCCCGGGTTTGTTGTGTCAGGGACATCCCAGCCCGAAGCTCCTTGCTGGTGTGAGGATTTACATGCACTGTCACTGTCAGGAGGACAGCGTCCCCAGGGCCTAGAGAAGGACCTGGAACAGAGCAGGTGCTGTTTCTCTCTGTGGAATGACAGGGCCTCCTGTGGCACAGAGGCAGGGGAAGACTGGGCAGAGACGGCACCACGTGGGGAGCCAGGCTCTTGACCTGGCTGCAGACGGGCCCCAGGCAAGTTGCCTGCCCTGCCTGGATCTCAGCCTGCTCATCTGTGAAATGGGAGCAGCCCTCTCTGCCCCACT